GGCAGACAGCTCTTCGTCGGACGGTGCTTTGTGTCAAGCGGTGGGAACTAAAAGAATAAGTGATGACATTGTGCGAAACAACGAACGAACGAAAAACCTTCAACTCAAAACTTGGGTGTCACGTGCTTACGTGTTTAAATTTAAACCTCATTCTACGTCAAGTCTACATAAAATCCAACCTATCGGTGGGACTTTACTTAAAAATACAAAAAAAAACACATCCGAAAGGAGTCAAAGATGGGCATCATACGTAGAGGGCCATGTCCGAGCTACCAGTATCATCACGAGTGTGATCCAATCATGAATACCATCAAACTATTCCTGCAACCCCATTACGTTTGGTGCGAGCGCACGAGTGCAGGTGATGTCTTTCAGTCTCTTCACTCCTACATATAAACAAGTTAGTATTTGCGTCATACGGAAACATTAAAACGCACGGCCTGTTCGTAATACTTTCTGAACCCCTGTAAAGCATAGCATCATAGAAGAACGCAGCTACAACCATGCCAAAAATTGGACCAAGGATAGGGCACCAGAGCCAATACTGGTTCCTGAAGTTGAACACTGCGCTACCGTACCCAACCATGGCGGTAAGGATACGGGGCCCCAGGTCACGGGCAGGATTAAGGGCTGCTCCAGTATCCATACCAAGAGCCGAACCGATGCCAAGGAGTAAGAGAAATATTCCAACAGGGAGAACACCAGGAGGCAAAGGACCATTTCTTGTATCCGTTAACATGAAAATTCCGGTAATGAGCATGGCAGACCCTATAAACTACATCTGGTTGTCAGTATGTGTTCAATTGAAGACCGCTAGTCACTCACTTCAGCGAAGAAGGCGGAGACTGAAGGAAGATAATCGGCCTAGATACACTTAAGCCGCATGAAATCATGCCAAAGGTATAAACCTACCGCATAGGTTCCAAAAAGATTACCAGATACTGCAATTGTACGAATATCGGAGCCCCCTTCAACGATGGTGATCGCATTGAAGTAAGTAGCGTAGACTACACTTGCCCCACATAAGGCGCCCAGGAGTTGCGCAAGGAGGTAGATTGGGACCTTTTTCCAGGGGAAACCGCGGACAGTAGCAAATGCTATGGTGACCTTACTAGGAGTCAGCACACATAGTTACACGCAAAATATTCAGGGGTACACACTGCAGGATTCAAATGACCACCTGAGTGGTTTACAGAGATCCATACACCAAGGGACAGTCCTGACCAGCTTGTAAGGAAGACGTCGACATACAAAGATGAAGGTTCGCTCACCAATGGCCCAAGAGAGGTTGGATGTGACAACATTCTTTGAACAAACACCAATGAGTTTCAGTCCATCCGTCATTTTCGATGCCTTGAACTCACCCCCGCTGGGCTTGCAGACACACTTTTATTGGCAGAGAGATTTGCCTGGCAATTGCCACCACAACCAAGCAAGCACAGAATGAAGGCACCCATGAACTCGGCTGCCGGTGCGGAGATGCGCTCCCTGCAACAGGTCCAGTCAGCTATTGTCAATATTTTGCGAACAGGTAGGTACTACCTGATGCTTGACCATCGGTTGGGGTACGGAGAACATTGATCACAGTCAGCGAAGTCAACGACTCCTAGGACGGTCATATCGTTGGGTCGAGTTGAATAGGAGCTGTTTGATATTTCGGAATGAAGAGGCTTTTCGATGATATCCGTCATCTTGTGCTGAGAAAAAGGAAGGACAGTGCTAAAGCTCCTGTGGAACAGGATCTGGCAACTGCCTGTTTTATAGTTGTCTGCTGCTATCATCTATGATGAGTATCACGTACATGGCCCAACCGGGACTCCGAATGTGGACGAACATACCTGCGGAAAGATTATACACACATTATCCATGCATATTAGTTTTGCTTAATACATACTCGGACCTATCAGCCAATCATTAATCAGAGTGTACGAATTAGTGTAAGGGAAGGTAACGTACTATCTGTTAATTCTCGGACTAAGACAACCGCGTGTGCTTTGCATCGATAAAACAGTCAGCAAAAATATTCATACCCCACTATACCATGCAGGGAGATGAAGAAACAGGGTCTGCTATTGTTATCGCAACAGCGTGAATATCGTTCCAGGTCCTTCGCACCAACCGAACCAATTCGAAGTGGAAACAAATCGAGCCGGGTTAAGTTCGTCCATCAGTTTAGATCCCAATTTGATTTTCATCAAGTATCTCATGATGATCTCATCAATCTTCGAAAAGGCTCGAACGCACCGAGTCACGTTGTAACTTCTTCGAGAGTTCCTTATGGGTTAAAATAGGTTTGAACAGGGTGATCACGTACAAGGGGAAACGGGGAATTCCTGGACAGAAGCCTCCACTGCCATGGAGTTGTCACTCTCAGTGTGTGGTCCGTGAATTGCGACTAACATGATTCGGTAAAAACGGAGACAATCAAAAAAGTCCAAAACAATCACCAAGAAGGGGCACACGTACCGCACTCCCAGAGGACTTCGATGAGAGATAGCGACTGATCCTGCATCGAAATCAACCACAAAAGCTGCGAAATGGTTCCACAGCGAAAAAGATAAAACATTCATATCACATAAAACAGAGCCGGACTCGTGCATTCGTTCGTCGACTTCAAGTAAAACTCGCGAATTCTACGGCAGTTACCCGGTTACTGCACACAATTCAAGTATCAGGTGTTCCGACGGGGTAAAGCACGTAACACGAAGTATCTTTCAAGCAGAAAAATCATGCATTCTGTCGAATCTGTGGCAGATCTGCAGTCAGCATCTAGAAATGTGACATCTGACAAAACCAATGGCGCGATCGTGGAGGCGCATGACAGTGGGAAATGCTACAACGGCGCAAGTGTCTGACAGCGGAACGAACCGTTCATGCGTATAGAAGCCGCAGAGGCTTTGCACGACAGTCATTTAGCTTCATATTGGTCTTCCGAGCGCCGAGCGGTGATAGTGTGATTACGTGGGAGGTACCCTGCACTATCCTCGCCATACAGCGGGGACTACTCGAAGAGAAACAAAAGGACGACTTGAGGCAATTACATACCCCGCTTGAATATCACCATAAAAACAACTGTCAACTCAATACGCCAAAGAATTTAACGGCGCTTTCAGTGCGCGTATTACTTCGTATGACACTACGGCAGTCATCTAGAAAATGTAGAGTTAGCCACGCAAATATCCGACATTCCCGTCAATTACCTCTCGAGTTATTTCCTCTCCTCCAACCTCCCATCCGCTTTCGGCAATCGGTAAAACTACATTGTTCATATGTCGGGTGCAAAGGTCATCAATGCCCGATTTTTCACCAGTATACTTGTGCCATTGAATGAGGGTATCCCAAACTTTGACGCGTGGCAAAGTAGACGGCGACGGGCGGCAATGACAGCTGGACCGAAAACGGGGCAGTTGAGTGCAATAAAGGGAGCTATCAATGACTCCGATGCTGATACAGAACGTTCGGAAACGGAAGACACCGATTTTAATGTTATCTAGATAATTGCGTCAGAATAGCAACTCGTTCGTAGTGGCCAGGAGGTATCTAGTCACCTGGAATTTGGGTTGTCGTGTCCGATGGATGCTTCCACTTGCTCTGCCAAGTTTATCATATTGCGCGTATCCGATGCCGAGTATGAGTCAAGCGCGCCTGCCTCGACCACCTTGCAGATGAGGGGCATGCATATCAGATAATAAACCATGCCCATCATTGACTATTCTTTCAATAGCACTTTGATAATCTATGGCATCCGAAAGACGTAAAGGAGTCCGTTGAGTAGCCCTATTCTCGGTCCAGTTGCGTTATGATGGCCCTGGTTGCACGTCCACGTCCACGTTCACGATGAAATCGACGGGCTATTCGCACGGCCTGTCGCTCACGGCGTACAGTAACAAGGTTTGCTCGAGGCAGAACGCGTCCTACAGCTAACATCACATCGATAGGCTAGAATCCATTTTTGTTCATTCACCGCTTTTGTTTAGTTGTGGAGCTGGCCAAACAAAAGGGTCCTGCCTATTACAACTTCGTGGGGGCGAGATACCCCAGAATGGCACTGGACTGCGCAGCTTTCTCATTCCACACTGTCTTCCGACGCCATTCTCACTATAGTTGGAAACCGCCGTCATATTCCTGCAGCAGCCATGAAGCAACAATGGATCACTATGTCTGCCCAAATGTCATTGAAGGCGATAGTACAATTCACTAATACAAGCCGCCGAACTATCAACTGAGTTCTTCGGCTCTCTCGTCTCACAGGCTCTGTTGTCGGAATACAGCTACAAATCGTTACTTGACATCTACTGTACAGCGAGTGTTAGACATTGGTATTGATGCTCATTGATGCTCCTTCAAATTTCGACGCTCTGCTCCCTTCTTTGCCTTTCCTCGCCCGCCGAATCAGTCGATATTGTGCAGTCCAGTACCATTCTGGGGTATCTCGCCCCCACGAAGTTGTAATAGGCAGGACCCTTTTGTTTGGCCAGCTCCACAACTAAACAAAAGCGGTGAATGAACAAAAATGGATTCTAGCCTATCGATATGATGTTAGCTGTAAGTCATCCACTTCTTCAAATTGATCTGCGGCCGCCAAAAGTGAACCGAAAATCAAAGATAGATCATCTTGGTTGTTCGCTTGGCGTCGCCGAGCAATCATTCCAGAGTATTCTTTGAGTATTGAAACAAATTTATCCTCGAGCTTCTCCAGCTTCGGAAACTAAGCATCCGTGAGATCTTGCTTCATGTAAGATAGAAATGATACTAACCTTCTCATCGAGAAATGTCGCCACATTTTCGACCCATTCCTTGAATGCAGCGAACCACGACCTTTGCTTTAGCAATCATCTCGCGCAACTCTGATTGACGGACTCCAATTGTTCTCATTCATCGACCAATGCTGCTGCTGCCTTCATATTTGTTGTATACGACGTAGTCACTGCGGTCAAAGATTGAGACAGGCGCTCCATTGCCGGTCCAAGAGATGGTATCGTAGTCGATGTAGGAACTTATCAGAGGCTCCAGACTCCAGACAATTCCAGAAGGACATATGTCTCACTGGCGGCAGGCTTGTAGACCTGTTTTGTGGGAGATACCTCATGAGAAGTTGGGCGCAACTGTTCCCTTTCCCACTCCACGGTCTCCTCGTCTTCCTCATCACTGTTCTCACAATGTTAGTCAAATCCTTAGGAAAATGCTCAGACATACGCATCTGCGATCATCTCTTGCATAGCATCCTTGCGCTTGGAAGTTTTTTCGAATTCTTGCCAAGGCCAATGCACTCTTGAGCGCTGGTATATTTCGCGTACTCTGTCCTTTGTCAGGCTGGTGCAAAAAAGCTGATAAATGACATACCGTCGTCTCCCTATCCAAGCTCATCTTCTTCACGCATCAATCGACTTTCTGGATGTGGACCCTGCGGTACGGTATCACGTTTCGTGACAGAAAGAGATATAAAATCATCTTCTGTACCATGAGTCTGCATGCGTTCTCGTTCTTGTTTAGCTGATAATATAGACGATTCTGAAGGAATCGCTGTGTCAACATCGTCTGCACGTCATTAGATAGTGAACAAGGCAACTAAGCAAGATCTTACCAGCTATCTCAGTGACCTCTACTAGTTTCACCCAGGTCCATCGAAACGTCTGCATCATGACCTTCGGCGACTGTGGCACGTCGCGACGAAGGCGTGCTTGCTTTCAGCTGTGAGAGGTATGCCTGGTCATATATGGGTGCCCCATTAGAACGGGGAGTGATAGTAGCTTGGTCAAGCGAGACAGGCAACACATTCCTAATAGATCTCATGAGCAAACTGAATTCTATAGCAGTACAGATATGAACATACACAGGATGAGCGCTCAGGGACAACTTTTGACTAAGACTTGATTTCTTCAATTGAAAGACTTCCCCATCTCCTGCCTGACGCCTTATGTAAGTGGTAAGCAAGAATTTGAGAGTATAGGAAGTGAAAACATGAACTTCCTCGTCACCACCGAAGCTGCATCTGCAAACTAGAAATTTCTTCACAGATATGGTAATTTTCGACAGTTTCCCACAGCAACCCCCCAAAGTGGCGAAAGTGTGGGGTTATCATATTCTTCAAAGGTCATTGTGGCTAAATGTCTCAGGCCATTATTGCTGTGAAGAAGGATATCCCGTGCAGAGCTTGAGAGGTGTTGCATCTGGTCACTGGCAAGTCTGGCAAAGTGGTCCTTTGGACCAAAATATATGCTGAAAGGTTTTGACTCCCCGCTGAGATTATCCTTGGATTCATTGGAGTCAGCATTACTTGCTAGCTTGACAAAAAACTACTCACATTCTCCAAGTCTCTGCTTCCCTTTCCCTTCATGAGATGCAGAGGGGACTTCCAGTGCACTACACGTCGTAATATGATGATTGGTTGAACTGAAGCACAGGTAGAGGTTGTGAAATTTCTTTTGCTGAGTGCACACTGGACTTTTCTGCGCCAGAGGGTACTTCAGGTCAGGGGACCCTGTTCTCACTGGCCCGTCTTGACTTTACACAATCTTGATCGTACACTTCAGTCCAGTAACTACATTTATCTGAACTATATTCATGATATGCTGAGCAACAACAATTGAAACAATAGCTATGCCATAAGATGCTTGAGTGCAACAACGTGTATTTCTCGTCTCCTGAGAAGATCTGCGTGCGAGATCGTGTTTCTAAGATCAAGCTCCAGCTAATCCCAACTGGTCAGGGTAGGGATGTGAAGAGCAACCGAGGACTTGCCTGAAGTAGTTTATCGGATTGCCACATCCTGGTAGGCAGGTTCTCTAAAGATACATAAACAGCAGAGTTGGATTCACATTCTATCAGCTCCTGTTCGTTGCTGCGAAGGATGCCTAAGGCGACGCGGAAGAGAACATCGAGTCCATCAACAAGAAAGACATCCCACACTCTGAAAAGCGTCTTTTGAAGAGTCAGATAACATAGCGCGAACGCACATATGCTACTTACCTCGATTGGAAGGCAATCCGTGAAGAGCGACAGAAACCAAGAGAAGCAGATGGCTGGAAGGTCGACGCCAAGGGCGGTCAAATGTGTGTAAAGCCTAGGCATGGTCTCCTGCACGTATTCAAGGAGAACGAGGGGACATGCACGAGAAGGTAAAAGCGAAGGCGAAAAAAAGTCATCCGGAAGTATCCGTTCGATGATTGCTGAGAGCACCCAAAACGCCTCTTCTTCATCGGCATGCACTAGCAACAAAGTCGAAGTTACGAGGTTCATGCCCTGGCAATACCCCACAGCAGGGTTGCGGCTGAGGACGTCATGTTAACAGACGTACCAGATTGACACGATGGTGTGACACTCACTGACTATATGCTCTGAGCACGCGGCGAAGTTTGTCAACTCCTGCGCCGTCACCTCCAAAAAAGACGTTGAGTGGCATAGTCCTACCAACATCCTTCTCAATTTCCACGCAAACCAAATTGTGCTCGTCGACATGAGCCAGCAAGTCGCCAAAAATTCCAGGTTCCCGCATATCCAAGCCTCCGCTGCATTCCAGCCAGAGCTTGGAGCGGTACACTAGGGGTATACCTCCTCGCACCAACCGATCAAATTCTTTCCTCTCATGCGTATTCGACGACAGGCCCAGTTGAGCGAAACCAATGAGGCCCTCCGAATGAGATAATTCTTCTTCCTCGACTGAAGTGCCCAAGCCAAGAAGAGCAGCAGCACCGCCCCCAGAGTTCGCAACCGTAGGCAGGATATTCTTGGGCAATTTGACTTTGCTACGTTGCTTCACAAATACATCCCATTCTTTCCTCTTGGCGTTCTGATTCTGGTCGTGATTCTTGGTCATGTCATCGAGAAGACGTCGGATAACATTAGCGCAAACATGGCGAGGTGTGGACTGGGTCACAGTCAGAATCGCAGTGCTAGAGTGAAGCGTGGGTACAGCAAGGGGTGTGGCTATCGATGTGACAGTGGTGGAGCGGGGCCGGGAAGATGATAATGAAGCAGCGCGGGAATGACGCGAAGGACTGCTGCTTTCTGGAGGAGTTGATGCTGCTCCTGCCTTACTATTAGCAGGATCAGATAAAACCGGTGACATCGGATTGCCTTCTCCATCACAAATGCACGAATCCTTCACGATCTCAATCACATTCTTCTGGTTGTCGTCGTCGTCGTCGTCGTCTGACCAAGAGTTACTTTCCTTGCGGTCAGCAATTTTGACGCCAGTCAGGCAGGCAGGCGCAGTGTTGCCACATTCCTTTGCCCGAATGAGTAGCAAGACATCGTACTGTGACACGTCGTAAATGAAGCCATAACGATCCGTAAGAGGCTGTTTGCTTTCGTCATCGCGGTAAACTGTGAACCGAGACGCACTGGTGGGAAGAGGAATAGGAATGGTGAAGTTGAAGTGCGGAGCAGTGAGAGGGGTGTATGTGCGCGAAAGGTAATGAGTTGGAGGCTTCGCAGTCGCAGGTATAATGGACTCTAAAGCGACTGAACCGGGTTTGTTCGCCGAGTGTTGCTGCTGCACTGGAATATTACTCGGTCGTGCAGTGGACATCGTGCCCTCGCTTAATGTTTTCGCGCTTGCTTCCATAGCAGGTAAGGATTTCTTATGATGTGGCATGAAGGAACCGAACAGAGGTGACGTGAAAGGCGAAATTATATTTGCTCCCCGTGACCTAGTTGTACGCACGGCTTTACCTTGCGCAGTCAACGTGCGGTTCAGAGCCGTGCTTGCATCTGGGCCCTCGATAGGACTGAGGGTTGCGTGCGCGGTTATTTGGTCTCCTATCTCAGCCTTACCTGACCTATGCTCTCTCTTCTCTCGAAGCTTCTGGGGTACGCGGAATGATACATGCTCGTCTCGTGCACGCTTAACAAGTTCAAGGGCCAATTGAGCAATCAGAGGGCTTGTCTCTCGGCCGTGATCAGTCAGAATGCTACCTGGATCCGAGGTCATAACTCGAATAGCATGGGCAATGGCACGGAGTGATGCGCCCTGCGGCGGCTTTTCTTCGGTAAAGGAGGGAGAGGTAGTAGAACTCCCTGATCTTGGATACGAGACTCCGACAGCTGCTAAATGTGGCGTAACAGGCGCAGGAGCAGAAAATGTACTCAACGCAGGGGAAGAGCTCACAGAAGACTTTGTGTCATCTATGCGGGCTTTATATGATGGCTCTGCTATAGGTTTCGAAGTCGATGGTAGTCTCGTGGCAGAAGAGGATGATGTGGGAGGGTTGAGTATAGAAATACCCAAACTCTCAAACACGCTTCTGCTACTTTTCTTGCGTGAAAAACTGTTTGGGATAGTCGGAGATTCAGAATGTGGGGATGAATATAAGGATGGTTGCTTTGCAGGAACTTCAGAAGTTTCCTTTACCGAAGTCGTGGTCAGCACCCGATGGTGTTTGTGTTTCCCCTTCTGCCACCAGGTACCCATCCAAGACGCTCTATCATTCCTGGCATGATGAATAGGAGCCACATGCTCTGTGATAACTTCGGCAACCGTGGAAACGGGAGGTACAGTGGCTTCGGGGGCTGATATAGCCACGGATTTATCAGCTGCCGTGGACCCTATCCTGTCGACGGTTGCCTCCGGGTCAACGTATGTCACTTCACTGGTTTGGGGAGATTGTGCAGATGTGACGATGTAAGTCGATGCCAAAGGAGTCATAGTATCATCCGGAACGCTGCGTGAAAGTAAAGTGTCATCCTCGATAGCTTCCGTCAACGATGTCTTGAGTGACTGTGTAACGTATCAGAGCGAATAGGGTGCAATCAAAGTAGACCAACGCACAGAAAGGCTTCCATGACGTTGAACTCGATGGTGCGTCTCGGCATCGCCAGGGAAGATTGATTGTATGACCCGCCTTGCCACCTCTCGTTCAGAGGGTAGCAGCTCCGATAACAAAGTTTCAGCACGCTCTTTGCGCGCTGCCTCCTTCTCTTGCAACAATTTCCTATGTTCTTCAAGCTCTATTCTGGCCCTTGACAAACTGTGGAGAGTGGATGAAAGCACACGAAGTGCTGTATGGTATGGATGAGTGTCAACATCTGACGGAGACTCTGCGACAGTAAATCTGGATATTGCAGCCTGGATGGCCTCGTCTGAGTACTCGTGCCACTTGTTGGCAAGTACTTGTGCAGTCACTGACGGGGATACCTCGGGGGTGCCATCTGAAAGAGCAGTCCTTGGAGGGAGGGAGCCTGGAGGAACTTGAAGGAAATTGTTATCAACAGGAGGTCCGATGATAAATCGCGGCACTTGGTGCACTGGTCTATCCCAAAGTGTCGAAAGCGAGTTGGAAGACATTCCACGACCTGTCACTAGTTCTCCGCTGGACCCGCTCGCCGCATCAGGCTTGCCAAATCCGCGAACGCTGCCATCCCAATTTGTTCGGATATTGGCGCCCTTGGTTTCCGGTTCCGCTAGTGTCTCTGACTGAGTTTTTAGAGTAAGATAATTGTTAGGGGACCGCGTTTCATCTACGTCCTGAGCTCCACGCGTTCTGCGCCCTCGTGACGAAATTTCGTTCGGGGAGAGAGGGTGCAAATGCACAGGAGTACTGATGGGCGGGACCTGTGGATTCATTCGCTTAGATTCCAATTGAAACTTGGCATTATTCCAGGCTGGCTAGCCTTTGCTAAAGAAATGACTCAAGACCAAGAGAAGGAGAGTGTGTTGGACCGTGGGACAAACTTATGTGACCCGCAGACTCCTCATCGACTTAAGTCTTAAAGTAACATAATTTCGTCGATGAGCTGGTTCAGTCGTTCAAGCTCTGAACAATCTCCAGCTGCAACAAGGCATGACCGCCAGAAATGCTGGGAAAGTCGTGACCAATACTTTGAATGCCTGGATAGCGCTGGTGTTCTAACTGCCGGAGAAGAAGGGACAGCATGCACCAAATCAAAGTTTCAGTACGAAAAGAGCTGTGCCAAAAGCTGGGTGAGTATGATGATCCAACTGTTCGCATCTAGTTGATCTGACCGCTAAGCATCAGATTGATTATTTCAACAAAAGGAGGGTTCTCGCTGAGAAACAGAAGGATATGCTTGCACAGTCTCAGCTCCAATCGCAGGAAGCTAATCGCAAACTATAGTTCTGCTTGCGTACGAGAAATTCTGCTCATTCCGTTTAGGCAGAATACTTATGATGAATCATTTTGCATCACAGCACCACCTCGGGCCTGACTCATCCACCCCGAATTTTGCAAGCTGTGGTCCGTGGTTACATTCTTTCGCATGAAACAAGCAGATTACTTCTAATTCCCAATTCCTTAATTTTAAGATACCATTCAATCATCATCAAGAGTGGCGTTCTTGATATCGGATGATTCGGTTGTTTCATCATGTGCCCATTTTCTCATGAAGGAACTATCCTTATACTGCGTCCTCCGAACCGTTGCTGTGCTTTATAAAGGACATCGCCCACCACGTGTGGCTAACGCAGTGTTGATTTTGATCTTCGCATCCGAGACATCACATCTGAAGGCACTTACACCATTTGAAAACACACCAATTTCAAAATGATAGCAGTTGACAACCGCGTTGTTCTGTTCCGGAACCCTTATGACCCAAGTGATACAACAGTTCATGCTACGCTTGCAAATAGTGGTTAATATGTGATTTTCAACTCATTCTATGCCGAATAAGTAGCCCAGCTAATGTTCTCTTCCGAGAATGATGAAACATCATCAAATTCTGCTTTGTGGCTACTTCTGGTATTACACACTGGGTTGCGGATGCCACCAACCCAGCGTTCTCATGACTTCTGTTTGCAGACTTTCCTGCGATATCTTCTTACCAGATCTCACCTGTGTCACCTACTTCGAGGCGTTTATCTGATGTTCACACGAATAACCCCATGCTGATTTGCGCCGGCTCAGGCAGTACGAGTTCCATCTATAATTTCCAAGCACAGGATGGAGCAGACTATACTTGGCACTCATCACTGATGCTATTTCGTTTCTAATAATGTCACGCGAGGTTCATCGGGACGATTGACTGAGCTTCAACTATGGGTACATATATCCTGCCGTTTCTTGATCTGCTTGGACATTAACCCCCTCTCATATTCGGCTGTCGTCACGGGCTTGGATATTGATGTCTTGGTTGAAGGCTAAAGACTGGGCATCGGGCGTGGAATACTCCAGCCTGTTTCACTCAGGGCTGCGAGCTATCTCCCTCCGCTCCCTCATAGGCACGCGCACCCGAGCTCAATCTACAGCCCCGATTTCTTCACCGGAAAAGACAAAGCGGAGATATTCTCTCTCTTTGTCATCTTGTCTGCTCAAACGAGGTTTCTCAACTAAGAGTCCTCCCACATCCAAATCTAGTCTGTCTCCACCTTGCACAGAAAAATGTGTGCGTCCACGGCCTTCGTCTATGTTCGTATGCTCCACCAATGAGCTGTGTGAGCCCTGGGGAAAGGGAGGGAGCTTCTTTGATAACATCTATGGTCATCAGAAGTTGATGTGCGCACACTTTCTACAAATACCACTGATTTGGGCACTGATGTTAAATCACACAGCCAAGATGGAACTGATGGTCTACCTTTGCCCATCATGGACTTGGGAGATCCGTTTTCTTCATCGCCTCAATCAAAATCGTTTTATGTGAACCTAGGGGACCCATCGCCTCTTCCACCCAAAGAAGAGTCTTTCCTCTCTTTGTCAAATGATATAGATACCTTCTATAGACCAGTCCGTCGCGAGCGTCCGCTCTCTGCCCAAACTATGCCTCTGCCTTCTTGTAGATTTTCTGGGCACTACCGGCGCGAGCGCAGGGAACGTATCGATCCTGCGTGGATGCTGGAAGAATCAAGTCCAGAATTGGAGGCCCAGGACGATGGAGAGAATGTTGATGTTACAGAAGTAAATCTTGACGGTGTGTCGGATTGGCGCCAGTTCCACGTTGATTGGCTCCAGAACGAGCCTGCTGTGCAATTGACTTCCGGGATATAATTATTGCCGCTTTATTGTGATCCTACTGTACTGTATGTAATTCACCTTGTATCCTCATTATCTAGACTTGTATTACTTGCCTCGTACTTCACACACGTCGTTCTTTGTAACTTTTTAGTTGGCAACATTTAGTTCTACTTAATTTAATACATTCTCTATGATTCTGACACGGGTCGCCGAGGGTTAGGAGAACAGCATCCAAAATAAGCAAAATTATGTAATATTAGAGTAGTTGCTCTGTCCCGTGCTCAGTGACGCTGCTAATAAGTTACTGGTCGCTTTCATTCGTCCCCAGCGGTGAGATATCTGCATGTTGATATACCGTGAAATGTCTTCAAAGTTTACTGACAATGGCTTGCTTCTCTACCATCAGGATACTTTAAATCCGCGCATTAAAGCAGGACATCTGCTGCTCAGTTAACATCGAGGATTCAAATCAGGCGCCGCGGCTATTATCTTGTACTCACACGACAGGAGCACAATAATCACCCTCCAGTTCCAACAGGCATATATTCTATCTCACTCTCACAGAGTGAGCTGCTCGTCATGCCTGCCAAGTACTCACATGTGAAGAAGAGGACGACAAACCCCAAGAAAAAGGCCGCTGCCACGATTCAGTCCGGGAAAGACAACAATCGCCATCAAAAGCTCCCCAATCACCTTGACAAGACGATTACAAATGCCATGTCAGCAGTCTCGCAGCTGGAGCGCGCCATCGCGAAGATCTTCCTGATCCGCTTCGAGCAAGATATCGCGCGCCTGTTTTCAACACACATATTCTGTGTCGCTCTTATTCACTTACCCACGTTCATGATGCGTTGTATTACTGTCGGCGGGCCCAGCTGGGTCGCTTATAATGCGGACAGTGAGGAAATTAAGGACTTCTTCCGTTCCGTCGTTAGTATGGACTTGCGACAGGCTGGAGAACGAGTTTCGACGAAGAGCGTCTTGTGGTCTTATACGGCTTTGAGAGAATTTGTGCGGTTTCGATCTCATTCCATGTATTAGCGAAAGCTGATCATTAACTGTCTTAGGCGCTTTCTAACAATGTCCCTGTATGCCGGAAGCGCGGCCTACACTCTCTTCGACTACTTCCTCACTACGACTCGCTAAAGGTGCACATGGACTCTCTGGATGCAATGCCGCACGCGACATTTACTAAACCACCGCATCTCGGCGCCCTTACAGAAGGCTTGGAGGCCTTGGAAGAGGCATGCGAGTTGAAGTACGGGGAAAAGTCCCCGTTAAGGTCCACCCCTCCTCCTGGATGGGATCATCAGTGGCGCATGAAAGTACGCACGGGATATGAAAGGCTTGCTCAAACTCTCTGGCGAGTGACCCGGGAGTTTGATGTTAGTGGATACGGCTGTGTGCTTCGGGAGAAGCTTACAACGAAGTGGTGCGATTGTGGATGTTCTACGGATCACCTGGGCGAGGTCTGTGAAAAGACGGTACGGGAAGATGAGGAAGGGAGTGGTGTTAGATCCGGTAAGCAAAGAGAATGGGATGGGCGAGGTATGTCATTTAGCGATGTAATAATAAATGTGTGACATGGCCTATAGGAAGCGGCGTGTTGGGTTGGGAGACTGAAGAAGAAGAGGATATATGGGATATCGATCTTGATTTTGGCGGGAGCGATTCTGAAGAAGGGGATGGCTTTGGGCCCGAAATGACCATTGCTCAAATGATGGAAATCAGGTTCATCAAGGCAGAAAGAGAGAAAGAATTCGTGAGTAATGTTTCGAAAAATACAGTCTGATAAAACTCATCTACATGGTTGTAGGGTAACGCTGCGTTCCGGCGAGGCGAGTATCAACGCGCCGTAAAACATTACAAGGCAGCACATTCAATTGAACCAGAACTGCCTCATTATCAACTCAACCTTGCTGCGGCCCACCTAAAGCTCAGCGAGTATGTCACAGTCCTTCAGATGTGTACCTAATTCTCAGACAATTCATAGCTGGCTTGAAGCCGAAGAGGCATGTACAAAAGCCCTTGGACAACATCGAAGCATAAAAGGTTATTATAGACGCTCGAAAGCGCGTCGAATGTTGGGTAAGCTAGATGACGCTGTGCAGGGTGGGTGTGTTTTTGAATTACCTTTCCGATGTGCTAAGCTGCTGTTAGATTTACGTGCGGCACTGAAAATACAGCCTTCAAACAGTGAAGCGTTGGATGAACTGCTATCCATTCTTCCGCCCGACGATTCATCTCGTTTAGCTCCTTCGTCTTCATCTCTTGCAACGTCCTCCTCCAGTACTTCACCGGCCCCTCGAAATGCCGGTTCACTATATGACCACCTGCATTTACCCAAACTGAAGCAACCAAAACAATTACCGTTTCCTCGGTCCAGCAATGATGATAGGAAAATTAAAGTTTCCTCGATCCCGGTGTCCTATGAAGTTCCGCTGATGTCTGCTGGGAAGGCCTCGACAGAACTGAAGTCGAAGGATGTCAAAACAAGGACAGAGTCGTTCATCTTTCCAAGTTGGGAGAAGTACACGGTTAGGCTGGCTACTGGCTGAGTGCATATAACCTATTTTTATGGATTGCGTGTTTTGTATGCAGGCTTATCTTGTTGCCACTCTATGGGGATCATTCTTGGTTTTCGGCGGTAATATTGATTTCATTGTTCTACCTCTTGTCCTGTGTTTGATCTACGTATTCGTATGTAGAGATCTATGCGTAGGGGATGTTTTACACGGCCACTGGTGTCATCAGTGCCCTTATTCTCTAATTAGCCGCCTTGATGAGTTTTCAAGCTGATAAGTTTGCGATTGAATCGGATGTACTGACTCACTACTTACTTAGGCTACGAAACAGTTAACGTCGGTTAACAGCGATTGACTGGGAAAAGAAACTGGTAGCATTGGGGCAGTTGCAACGATATCATCAGCAACTGATGGATCCGGCCACCAAATAGGCTATAGCGTCCGAGTGCGCAGCAGGTCAAGAAGTTGCAACATCCGACGTACTGATGATGAGATCCTGTTGTTTCCACAGGATCCACCACAGCAGGTAATCAAAGACTGCTTAGTCGATCACGAAGACTTTTGATATCAACCACTGATACGAGGATTCACGAGTATTAGCATCAGATTATAGGGTGTTACTACAATTATTTCAGTCCATCAAGTACTGGCAATGAGCGGTTGTTGCTCTCCATTATCAACGGTTTCAACTGAAGGGTGATATTTGCGTGTCAACCGTGTAGTCAATGCGCCGTCCTCCAACCGGTCCACCTCCTCCACGATGGTATATCCCCCTAGCCATGGCAAGACGATAATCCACAGCCAGTAATAGAATCCGCACACCTACAAAGGGTCAGATTTATGTAGAATCGGGCTGTAAGCGATGTACATACCGCAAGGACACCCAGACCCACCACACAGTAACTGAATGATGGATATAGTCAGATGTGGACCTAAACTGCGACAGCATTAGACTTACGTTGCGTACCAGAAAGACACGTCACTATGACCAGGTTCCGGTGGTATCCTTGTCAAAAAATCAGTGCTGCTTCAAGGCGTTGATTCGGTAGGACAATACCAGGGCATTATGAGAAGAAATACTGCGCTGAGGAGGTAAAGGGAAACGTAAATATTCCCCGCACGATACTTCGAAGGCGCAAGGCCAGCAAGCGCTTGCCGCTTCCGAAGAAGCCACAATCCTATAGCAGTTGCGGCATTGAACACCTGCGACTTGTTCATCATATAATACGCTGCGGTCGGATAAAATACCTACCAAATTCGGATAAGAAGACAAATCTAACAAGAAGTTGAATGCATCTCGAGCTGGGAGGGCGACTATCACGAAGACTGTAAGAAAGTACTTCAGACACACAGGTCCCAATGGCGTGCCGAATGGCTTGGTCGATGCAAAAAATCTTGGATACGGAAGTAGCCCCTGGCGGGCAATCTCACGTAATACGCGTGCCTGACCAACAGTCTGACAGAATATAAGTTTTCACATTATGAAAAGTAGTTTCAAAATGCTTTGCTCACCACAGCGATCTAGAAATGTATTTTGTAAGTAAGTTGGGCATGTAAAATACATAGATCACACACGATGTTGCCGAAGCAACTTAAAGCAACCATGATCGGCATGGTTTGGGCCGCGAAGCTCTCTCCGTATACACGTTGGAAAAATAAAGCCGCGATGAGTTGTCCAGAATTTTTTATCTCGTCCTTTGGCACCGCTGCCACGTAAGCAACGTTGACGAAGAAAAAAAGACAGGTGACTAAAAGCAGCGACAGTAAGCCGGCTTTGCGTACTGTGCGGACAGGATCACGCGTATGGACTTCCCCAATGACATTAAACGCGTTGTGCCAACCAGCGAATGCAAAATTAGTCTTGACTAGGGCAGTAGCCAAAGAATTTGGATTGGTCGTGCTCCCACTGAAGGGGGACCGGAAATTGGCATACGGATCGCTGATGTGAGTGAAACCGCCAAGTACGAGGGCGCCCGTAAAGACCAAGCTGGAAGCACAATATGTCAGTAGATGAAAGATGGTGAGCGATGCACTCACAAGACAAGAGAAAGAACCTTCAACCCAGTAAGAAAGTTTACGGCTCTTAGGGACCATTTCGTTGACAGGGCGACGACTGCGTGGTCAAGTTCCAGATTATACCTTGGCGCAAGGAATATAAGAAGCTCACAAGACATACCCACAGCACAGACAGCTATGGCAATAATGGATTGTCTTCCGGGAGTGATGGGGACATCGAAAGCTGTAAGTGCGTATTGGGCAAACACAATAGAATTTGTTGCGCTAAAACTGGTTAGCGTAGAGACAATTCCGTGAACATCGCGTTCAACATGCAAACCGTAGTAGCACGCACGAAAGAAGGACTGAAGTTACAGCAAACATAACTGGGACCATAAACTGTGGACGAGGATACGCCTGCTCCAAGTACACAACTTCTGCCCCAGATCTCTTTGGGAACATACTCGCGAATTCACCATAGATCATAAGGCCTCCGAGTGCGAATAATGGAGCCAATAGCCAGAAGACGAAAAGTAAGCCGACGGAGCCAACGGAATTCATTATGACGCCTGGAACAGAGTATATTCCTGCACCGAGTATTTGCCCGATATTGAGCATAACAGAAGACAGTAATGTAACCTTGTAACCCAAGGGACTGCTCTGCAGACGAGGTGAGTATTTATCGGATACAAGTGATTGGTTTTTACCTTCTCTATTGGCGCTCCCGCTGCTGACAGAGTGTTTCCTTCATGTTGCGCATCTTCGCTTTGAGCGAGGACTTCAGAGTCCAGGACATTGTCGATGATGGTCATGAGACTACTGACGGTGGGCTGATAGGACTGGTACTCACTGGCAGGACTGTATCATAATTATAAATCCACAGGAGTCGGCCCGGCGAATTGTAGTAGTCATTGGCTACCATTATGGCGCCATCACTGGCAGTGTTCGGTCGTGGTCGTGGTCGGATCGGAGACAAACCTCAATGCAGTTTTAGTATGACTCACGGTAGCTGGCCGCAGTTTGAGTTCTAAAACGAGGAAGCCGTGAAGAACTAGTGAAAAAGGCTGAGCGGTGAAAGACCTGAAGAGAATCTAGTAAGAAAGATTCAGCGGGTGTTATGTAAATAGAACAGCGCTATATACCAACAAGATTGGCTTGGCACCTCGGCCTCAGCGCGCGGATGGTATCTGTGGCTGAAGCGGAAGGTACATGCAGGTGTCTGAGGTATATATAGCCTTTTATTTTTATCAGCCTTCCAGAAGAGTCACGCATACTAGCGCCTAGTACTAAATTTAGTATAGGAATAGCGCAATAACCGACCCTTTTTCCACAAGGACACGATGGACTTACCTTACAACCACATCCGCCATAACATCTGAACCCTGATGGCGCTTTGAATGATGATACAGTTCCATGGGTATTTGGTTCTGGCCGTAGGCGCTGGTACGTCTTGCATCCCTACATCGCATTCGGGCCGTTCTAACCATCATGTCTTAAAGTCCTGGCATGCACGTTGGGGATGCGTCGCTTTGGTCCGCAATTGCATGCATACTGGCCGCTTTTGCGATCCAGAAACCTGTCGGGCAAGAACCAACAATTGAATGGGCATCAGGCCTAGCTTCGTAAGTGTCACCGGACATTTGATGTGCTGAGCTGAAGTTACAGTAGACACCCCCTGCCCTTCCCATGTCTATCTGTGCCCAGGAAAGCTCAGGACGCGCAGGGATTGATAAGCCTGGTTAGAAGCAGTTCTCTGTAAGGCACATGTAATACTTCGTGGTGGCTTTTGTGCAGGAGTCGCACAGTAATCTGCCTCAATTGGAGTATCTTGACCGTTCTCGGCTTTCATTCGACACCTCACCTCACCATCGCAGATAACAGATTCGTACTGCGGACGGAGTTGAAGCTGTATCGTCTAAGTCTTGAAGAGCAGTGTCATGATCACGCACCCTGATAGACTCCATGGCACCATGTCAAGGACTCATCGGTTCTCTCGATCACTACAAATCCATATGTGCCAGAACCACAAAAATATACAAGATACAGAAGTGCTAATGCTACCGCACGGTTGAAGGCTATGCTCCAATGTGAATGAATACGACTCTCTGGTCCATCGGTACCTTATCCTTGTCAACGGCTTTGGAAGCCTTATTCAGAGCCCTAGCTGCGTTCGTGCAATCGATTTTACCGCTAAACATTGCGTCATAGAATTCTTTCACCATGTGGCGAGCAGTATTGTCATCCACCGCCCACATTGTACCGATGACACCTCTGAAACCAGAAAATTGCATTCCTGCAGCGAGATGGATGACTTCATCAGGTGCGTTCTTGTCTCCAACCGCGGTATGACAAGCAGACAGGAAAGCAAACTCCGGGTTTTCTGGTTCGGCTTGTATGATGTCTGAAAGCCGCAATGGCTTGTCGCGGAGAGCAAAGGACGAATCGAACGGCTGAAGAAAATCTTGCTTGCCGTGGCACGCGAGGTGGACCCATGAATTAGTTTTCAAGGCTTGGATTGCCCCGCTGACGGTTCCTTCATCCCCAGAGACCTCTGAGGATGTCATTGATGCTGGTACAAGGGATTTGACAAGCTCCAGCTCTGCTCCTACCGCCTTCAACTCCTTTTCTCCACTCCCGGAATTTGGTTTTGATTGACCTATGGAAACGAAGGACGGAGTACTCGACGCTACCTTAGATGCGTTCTGCCGCCTTGAGCGTATCAAAGCAGAAAGAGTTGGTGTGTATGACGAAACGTAAATGTTAGGCATGTTGCTGGCTCCCTTGCGGTATGGTCCGGCAGCATGAATGGGCAGCGAAGTGAGTTTCGAAGTTGGGCACCACCAAACACGAGACCCCTTCGGCACGATGGTCAAAAGTGCCTCAACAACAGGAGCTAACACAGCATCCCAAAGCCTGCGAAAGACAGGTATAAGTTGCTTTTCTCTCGTTTTCTCTTCTCCAACTCCTGCAGTATTCCGCAGGACATTGCGGAAGTCACCAGACAGGGTAGCAATGCCCCCTAGCGAAGCATCAGGGAGTGAAATGAGTCGAGGAGGCCCGTCTTTGGTGATGATGATCGCATCGCATCGCTTTATGCTTGCATTGATGATGACGATGGGGCCGGCAACCGCAGCTGCCCTTAACTCTTTGAAGGGCATCGGGGTCAAAAAATACGCAAATCCTTGTTTTTGCCGTATTTTGCTCACTACAGCGTCCCATTGCGAAGAGGTCCGACGATACTGACGTGCCTCTTCCTCCTGCTGTGTTCGTATGAGTGTTTCAGTGACAGTCCTGCCAGCGATAGCTAGGGAGTCAGACTGCCTTCTCCCAAGCTCAGCACTGAGCAACACGAATTCATCTGCAAGTCGACGCCCCTCGTCATCAACGACTCGCAAATCATTAATGGTTGCTCGAAAGCGAGACATCTGGGACCAAAGAAGGCCTCTGCCTTGTTCTGAGAGTTCGACTGCTAACTCGAGATCGCCTGCGCTGATCGCGCAGGCGGTAGCATCTGCAGCGAGTGAGGGCGTGTCACGCAATATGCCTCCGAGCAAAGCTTTATAACGACCAGAAACCGTAGGAGTAGCCATAATATGGCGATCAAGCAACTTTATAGAAGTTTTGTATGCTTCCAGAGCCGACGTATGGTGAAATTCATTGGCGTCCGTTCTCCAACGCAAAGCCGCAGTAAGTTGATCCCATGTGTGGATTCCAGGTGCGCTAGAGGCCAGCTGGTGATACTGAAATGTCTTCTCCAGAAATGAAGCGTCCTTGGTTAGGCTGTAGTAATCTTCGAAAATGGTCGTATACAGCTGGTAAACGAGGAAAAACCATGGGTGCGCTTCGGGCAGCTTCTCACTGGCCTGGGAAAGAAGTGAGAGAGCATCCTGAAAGCCGTCATCATCTTTGCCCGCTTTTGCCCGCTTATGCCTACACCATGCCAGGGAAATCAGCGCAAGCGGCAGGTCAGGGTGACCTTCTGGCGAAATCGTCAAACATGCCTCAAAATGGGCAATCGCAGCATTCAAATCTTCGATCGTCTGTCGTTTTGCATACATCTTCTGCAAAGAGCGAGCAAGGTTTCGGCGGACGTGAAGGGCCTGGGGGTGATTGGAGGCAAACATGGGAAGCGCTGTCTCAAACGCCTTGATACTTTCTTGCAAATCATTGATGTCTTCGTGTTCATTGTAACGAGCAGAAAGTACAGTGGCAAGGAAAGTCAAAATGTGTCGTCCCTCTGATTGGTTGGGATGATCCCGAGCCGCCTGCAGATAATTCACAGCGATGTCCAGATCAGTGATATCATGTTGGTTTTGAAAGCGGGCGAAGATGGCATATGCATAATTGGCAAGACCTTTGGGATAGTCTGGATGGTAGGTAGCCAAAGCATGGGTTTCGACAATGTGAGCTAGGTGAACTAAGCATTCATCGAGGTCATCTAGGGGACCGAAGATTTGATATCGCAGCAAGAGAGTATTTCCGAGACCCGAGGAGGCAGCATAGTGGTCATCCTGACCAGGAGGGCACACCTCGCATGCCGTGCGATAGTGATTGACTGCGCAATTAAGATCGTCTGCGTTCCCTCCCTGCTCAAAGCGAGCTTTGAGTGCAGATGCTAGTTGAATGAGGACACGGGGAAAGGCTTGATGACCTCGAGATAAATCTTGCATTATGTCCCGATAAAATGAAATGACGTGCTCTAGGATGTTCATGCCCCCTTCATGGAAATATTGCTGTAGGAGAGCATCTGCACGATCCATAGCAAGGACCTGATTGGAGATGTGGCGATCTGGGACATCTCTGAGCGCTAAGTCGCAGTAGTCAATTATCTTCTTCAGATCTCGAACGTCCTGTCGCCGAGAAAACCGTGTAGATAGGGCATTGTTAACATGAGTCAACAGGAGAAAGTAGTCAGCACTCTCCCTCGGGCAGACACATATGGCTGCCTCAGAGTGCTCGACAGCATCATCAAGATCAGCGATATCCCCACGCGTTTTATAGCGCATAATGAGGCAATTGATCCAGACCATAAGTACAGGCATATGTTCTGGGTGCGAGGGTCCGCACAAAGCCATGGAAGATGTTATGTGTGTTATAGCGAGATCAAGATCCTCAGGAACGCCATAAACCTTGAAGCGACTCATTAGAGCAATCGCGAGACCATGGAGGGAGGAGAAGCGATGTGCATGTGTGGAGGACTGATTAGCTAAGGAGTTGGTATAGAGCTCGATTGAATATTCGAGGTCATTGATATCTCCATTCTGCGTAAATCTGACATTGAGATCACCCGCGTAGTTGGCGAGGAGGGAAAATCGTATCGGATGATTATCAGGACAAGCTGTCAGTGCAACGCGATAAAGATTTATTGCTGTATTCAAGTTCTGCAAGTCCCCGTTGCACTGGAATGAATAACGCAATAGGAGTCCCATATTCATGAGAATTGTTGGGTACGATGGACTTTCGGGCGAAGAAAGCTCCAACGCTCTGCTGTGGTAGGCCATTGCACTGGTGAAATCATCCATGTTTCCTCTATGACGATAGCGAGCACAGATTGCAATGGCAAGGTTCGACAGAGTCGAACAATGGCTTAAGTGGCCAGGTGGTCGCAGCGACAGACATTCTTGGTGGGTTTGGATCGAGAGATCCAGGTCTTGTGGGTCTCCGGTCTGCTCAAACCGACTAAAAACTGCGAGAGCATAATTGTTGAGGAGGTTGTGACGATATGGGCTATCTGGAGGACAGCTGGAGGTAGCGGCGCTGTACATCATAATGGCCTGTTCGATGTCCTCGAATTTTCCATGATACTCGAATCTCCTACGAAGCACCCCTCCCAAGTTAACCACCAAAGGGACGTAATGTGGTGATCCAGGAGTCGATGATTCTAGAACTATACTCCAGTAATGTACAGCTTGCTCGAGGTCGGCAATACTATTCGAATGCTGGAGACGCATATAGAACGCGAAACCGAGGCTGTTGGCGCAAGCAGCGTGATTTTGACTGCCAGAGGGCAAGCCACTGTACCACGCTGAAAGGATTCGGATAGCCTCTTCTATGTCTTCACCCCGATGTGTCTGTTTGTAGTTGCTCATGAGGTTGTTTGCTTGATCGTTCAACGTCCCCCAGTCCATATTTCGAGGACCGGTTCCTGAGTGATTATCTGCAGACTTGAGACCGAATGATTAGAATATAACCTCGTGCGACATTGAATGGATGGGTCATACAGGTGTGAGGCACCTAGCAGCTGTATCACTCCTGTAGATGGCACATAAGGCTCAACCAAATCTCCCAAAAAACTTATTCAAACCTTTCTTCATTCTGGGAAGGCATATTAATCGGACAGATAACGAAACACTTGATGCAGGAAAAACCTACATCCAGCCAGTCACCCTTTTTCGAGATTCCCACGGTCTGCGTCCCTCATGCGATTAATATTCTGGTTTGGTGTTGAGGCCTTGAGGCCCAGGGCATTGCTCAATTGTTCATTATCATTCGTGTAGCACGGGGGCAGGCAATTGCCACATATGAATTGTCAACGCCGTGTCTACGTTTCTAGCATTCTGGGAGACTGCATTCGCACCAGACGGAACCAATGCCGAGCAAGTAGCTAGGCTTGCACTCTGTCACGGTTGGGACGGATAGTATAAATATGATATGAGGATTGGACTTGAACTTGGCTAGTTTGACTATTCTATATACAAGACTCAGGCTGCAGAGACACGACGGGTATAATATGGTGTATCTATGCGACCGACCGCGTTGTTCATGTTGTAAACATGTGCGCGTGTGTGTGGGGAACACGGTTCTACTTTGTGCCATCAATTAAAGGTACCGGAGCCGAAAATGATTTTGAGGTCCTCTCGAGTGTTATTCGTCCCCTACACCTTGTTTTTTTCTTCACTGCCACTCCTACTACATATGTACTGATTTTCACAGTGAAAGTGTTGCGATGATGTGCTCCCAAAACACACCCATTTCGCACTGTAGTATGATTAGACCAATTATCATTGGTGATAGTAAGCTGTCTCATCATTGGCATGTGGTACTAGTGCGAAGTCGACCGGTCCGGTAGTGGACGCCGTTACGCCCAGCGAAGCCACCCCGCTCTGAATCTCGCACCGCTATCATAGGATATGCTCAACATAAGTAAGTTCTTGCTACCTGACCAACACGCTGTCCCAAAATATTCCGGGGATGAGAGCGACACTCATCACGTTGGGAATGGATACCTGTCGAGTCTCGACTCTCAAGCGGAAATGTTCGTTCATTCTATTCTGAATCTGTCCCAAGTCTCTTTATAACCATTGCTTCTTAGGAAGTTCTTCCCCGCTCGTCCCTGGCTGTCTTGGCTCTCTTCACCATTGGATAAGACGTATCTAGCACTCGGTCTGGTTGTCTGAGTCCTCCTTTTAACTTGTCTGCGATCAAAAATTGTGTCATGTCATCCGACACCCCATCGACAAATCTGTGGCTTGAGCGATCTCGTCTCGATGGAATGATGTTAGGAGCAGTATCATATGGTACGTTTTTAGTCTACATAGTATGGAAATTTTGAAATTGACTCTTGTACCGCAACAGGCGGATTCTTCATCCTTACGGTGCAAGCTGCGATCGCTCTCATGCAACGGCCTCGACATGGGGGGAAGATTGCAGACAATCGCTTGACTCTCCTTGCCTACATCTTTATAACGTTTGTATTGGGGACGATAGGATTCGCTGGGAACGCAAAATACACGCAGATGATTTGGATAGACCTTCGTGATGCGCCTGGTGGTCCATCCGCACTGATTGAGGATGAGATGAATTATTCTATCAACGTCGTGGCGATTTCCTGGTAAAGTTCCTTTTCCCACCTATGTGCAAACTGTGTTGACAGTTTCATCCAGCTACTTAGTCATGGAGTGGTTTATGCAAGCCCTACTTGTGAGCTGAATTGTTCGTCTTCCTGGACAGGTGGAGGCCTGATTATTAGAATACTTTAGCTTTACCGATGTTTTGTAATATGGAATTGGGCAAGATACGTGATGGTCCCGATGATCACCCTCTACATTGCCATGATTGGTATGATTCACTGTCTGTCGAATGACAGTGATCACTGACATCTTGAGCAGCAATGGGTATTCTTGTCTTGATCCAGTCGAGCGCTGGTGCCATCTTCTACGATATCAATACCGAACTGGCCTACCTCTCCCTCGAGGTTGGGCTCACTGTCATCTACTCCGTCCTCGTGACGAGTCGTTTGCTCTCCATGCGAGGCCTGATGAAGCAAATCATACGGGAATATGATTCTAGCACCTATGACACCGTCGTCCTCATGGTCGTCGAGTCCGCTATGGCATACATTGCCTATGCCATTGTTTTCATAGTTTCCTTCGGTATGCATAGTAATGTCTCCAATCTATGTTTCCTGTCTATCAGCCATGTCCAGGTAAGCACACGGCAAATTGTGTTATCTGCATACCTGGTGCTAGCTTGTTTTTAGGGCATCGCCCAATTGCTTATCATCATCCGTGTAGCAAGGGGGCGAGCAATCACTTCGGAGCAAACACGAGCTATTGCAGCACATACGACTATGGCATTCTCAGCGACTGTATCTGACGAAATGGAGGAAATCAATATTGAAGCCAATAGCAGGGTCTGAAGAGGGCAGTGTCGAGTTGTATTCCGGTCTGGAGAAGGCGGCTGAAACAAAAGAGGAAACAGCATGAAGATGACGCGAGGTTGTATTCATACTTGTTATGTTTATAAGCATACAAATAGTTGAACTATTCTTATTTGCACCAGGTCGGCAGAAATTTTGTAGGGACGGAAATGTATGAGTACTTCATAGTATGGATAAGTTGCACTTGAATCTGATAGATACGGTCAAGGCTGGTGACTGTCTCACTTGCCCATCGCTACATGATGACAATAAAACACATAAGCGCTCGCTGGAAATTTTTTTGTTGGATGAATCAACGTTATAGCACTAATCGCCTCCGAGTCATACCTCCACTAGTTTTGCGCTGTGCTGTCCTTCAAGTCAAGGTCTAGGCTTGTGAGCACTTCCGCCCCTGTATTGAATGTTACTAAGCAAGTAGGCTTCTCATCCTAATAAGGCCAAACACCCACTGTACATTTCTGGGTGCCTCGAGGCTTGACCAGTACTACTTACTACGAGAAGACACTCAGGCTGTCTAAGCTGAAACCGAGCTGAAACAACTCATAAATTTATTGGCAGGAACATCATGACCTTCGTATAATTTTACTGCTTATTTGCCTTGTCGCCCATCATGACGCAGTTCGGTCGTACCTCTCACCTGGGTAATCATCCACTGCCACACCATCGTTGTTTCTGGTATCCGCCACTAGTATCTCTACCTGCTTGATCTTATCAGCCACTTGTATCTCAGCTCTCCTTGTTATTCATATCCCAGCCAAAAAATCACAACATGGCGCTTCAATCTCGTCCAGTGCCTATGAATGCTTCGCCGCATCACTCCAAGGTCAAGGTGTCCCTGACGCTATCCGACCCCATATTTGTGGCTGGCAACAATATTTCTGGAAAAATGGAAGTCGAATGTCGCGGCGATGGTGATTGCGGTCTTGGAATTGGTCTTATGATGGTCGAATTATTCGCCGTCCAAGGTTTGTTTATTCCATTCATTATCGCATAAACCACCAACTAATGCTTCATGCATGACCCAGAAATTACGTCTCGTGACCACTCAGGCACTTCCACCTTTATTCATTCTCGCAGACTGTTCCAAGGGCCAGGACTCCCGCCGTCAAATGCGATCCAATCTGACTTCGATCCTCCAGGAGAATCGCACCTTCCGGCCCATTACTACCCTGCACGTCGTGGTCTCACTACATTTTTCTTTCGCTTTCCCCTCCCGCCCTCGTCCCCCGCCTCAATATCATTCGGTCCTGCCCAAATACGATACGAAATACGAGCGAGCGTTGGCGTTGCTTGGAGAGGAGAGAAACGCCTCGTGACTGATCATCAATACGTCAATATAGTCGAATATTGCGATATACGAGCACCGTCGAAACGCCCTCAAGGGTTTGCTGTCGCCGAGGGTGGAAACATCTGGGCCCAAACTTTTGTCACGAATGGTCCCATCATTGCTGGAGAGGTCGCTTGCGTCGAGTTACAGCTAAAGAATCATTCACTCAACTGGGTTCGTTGTGCTGGTTCTTGTTTTTTATGGGATCAACTTAGCATAAATCTTGCAGACGTGTGGGATTACGCTCACACTTTCCCGTGAACTTCGACTATCGTCACCTTCTGTGGATAACGACACATTTAAGATAACCGACACAGTCACCGAGGTCGAGTTCAGGAGTCACGAGTATATGGTCCCCCCTGGCATTGAGGGCGTTGCCAATTTGGTGATTAATATCCCTCGGTCTTCCCGTGGATCTCGCGGTGGTGCTCGCGTCGGTGAGAATGGAAACACAACTGACTGTTTGTTTGAAGTTCGTTGTAGCCTGAGACTCCGGATCGATATGCCTATTGGGAGGTGTGTTGTGTCACTCATTCTTGGGCAACGCTTTGAACAAGTACCTCCAGCGAACCTGTCATAATCACAATTCCGCTGGTCATTCACCATCCTTTGGCCGTACCTAATGCACACGCGTCACCCTACGCCATCCCTGCCACTTCACCACAGCCGTATGCATCACCTCCTACACATGCTTATCTGCTCCCACTGCCTTCTGGTGCTTCCTACGTGGATCCTCATTTTTCATCACAGCAATACGACCCACTACATACGTACTGGCCACCACCGTCTCTAAGTGCAGATTATAAGCCTTTGACTCCTGCATTTTCGGAGCAGCATTATCCTCGGGATTTATTTCCATCTAATCCACACTTCCAACACTATACACCACCACCGCCTCGACCAGCATCAGCCGAACCTCACTCTCAGATGCCGTATTATGATACAAGCTTACCATCAGGACTTCCTACATCAGTAGCTCATCTTCTGCTGCCTCATCCACCTATTTCATATCACCCTTCACAAGCTGCCGAAAGCAGCCCTCAGTACCTCGCAGATTCGGAAGAGGGCAAAGGCACTCGTGCATCTCGCATCTCTCAAACGCTGCGTCTATCCTCTCGACACCGCTCAGTCTCACCACTATCGCACAGGTTTTCCTTACCTCAGCCCTCTGCTCAACACGTGTCCCCTGGTCGCCCGTATGGTGCAATTCAGATTTCCACCCTTCCTAATCCTTACGACTCTCAAAGTGCCTTACACTCACCACGCCCCATCCCATCACCAAAACAGTCCTACTCAGGCCCATCTCCACGCAGCGAAAATGTGTGTGCCCTGGAACGCATGGCAGACGAAGTCGGCAGGCATAGCGGCGATCTAAGTGCAGATCTTCCAAAGT